TTATCAGGGCTATTATTAACCATGACAGCATGTAAAATGTTAACAGAACAGTGTTTAAACTATTACAGATTCATACCCACAGTGATAAACTATATATATATATATATATATATATATATATATATATATATATATATATATATATATATATACACACACACACACACACACACATACACCATAACAAATATTTTGATGCTGCGTTGAGCCGTAATGGCGAACTAAGATTACATAGTTATACATTAAACAGTACACAAATGAATAAGCAAAACTTAAATACATATAACTCAAGCATATTATTTATGTACATCCATATTCGTAGATGACATGGGTGCAGTCAGCATACGTTTTGTTTTGTGAATGTTCTACTTTCTAAATACCACACAAGCTGTCACTGTTTAAAAAAATGAACGAATGTGCGAATATAAAACCAACTTTACCTCAATCTTTCGGTGTCAGTCGCCGGTGTTCGGCTCTGCTCGGCGTGATAAACCGGGCGCGTGTATGTGTGTGGTTGAACGTTAACGCGTTCAGCGGGACGGAAGCCGAACGGAAGAACCGGGCGCGGGAAATGATGATGAAGATGCTGCGTTGAGCCATAATGGCGGACTGGAGCGAGTGTCTGGATGTGGCCGTGGACATCGCCCGGAGAGCCGGACAGGTAACGTCGCATTACAAAGCTCCATTCCGGGGAAGAGTTGTGCTGGAACACCGCGGGATGAGCTCCACTGTAAACCGCTGATAAACAAACATGGTGACCGCTGACTGTGTTGTCAGCAGTGTTGTAGAGTAACGTTAAATGTCTTTCTGGAATAGTGTAAACACTGCTAATAGGCTCTGTACTGTTGACCTTTTACATGCTGTCAGTGTTATTAATAGCCCTGATAACGCTATTTCAGCACCACAACAGGCTGCGGCACAAGAGAAGAATATTATAAGTATCATTATTATTATTATTACGAATAAATAAATATGTAATTGCAATTTCTTATTGTATATAAATATTGGTAAAATCAAAACTGCATTTTTATTGTGTTTTTTATTATTATTATAGGCTTTTAGCACCAATTTGATAATTATTATTTTGACATTTTTATTAATACTTTTATAAATACTTCATTATTAATATTCTTCTCTGAACCGTAACAAACACTGTTTAATTTAATAAAATCTAATTCAATCCCTCTGCCACATTAAGAAAGCAAACTTACAGCACAGTGTAGTATCATGAAAGATTTGTATTTGTTGTAGGCCTATGCTTAGATTTTATTAATATTTTCAACATTTATAATTTATCAATTCAGGTTATTTACATTTGAGTAATTTTGGGATGTGTTTACATCTCTTATTTTGGTATTAATCTATTTAATGTAATGTCACTTTTTAGCTTTGTTTATTTTATTTGTAAATAATTTCAGTACGTCTGACCAAACTTCTCTGGTATTTTAGCTTTTATGATTAGGATGTTGATGATGATGATGCTGATGATGATGATGCTGTTCTGTGTGTGTGTGTGTGTAGATGGTGTCGTGTGCTGTTCAGCTGGAGAAGCGTGTGAGCAGTAAAAGCACACCGACAGACCTGGTGACAGAAGCAGATCATCAGGTGGAGGAGCTGATCATCTCCACACTCAGAGAGAAATACCCTACACACAGGTACACACACTCACACACACACTCATTTTAAAAGAAATACCCTGTGCGCACACACACACTCACTCAGAGAGAAATACCCTACATAGAGGTGCACACACATACACACACTCTCTTCTTACTGTGACATGTTAATGTGATGTTTGTGCACGCGCATGTATGTGTGTGCACATTTCTGTGTGTGTGTGCGTCAGGTTTATTGGTGAGGAATCATCTGCTGCTGGTGTGAAGTGTGAGCTGACAGACAGTCCTACCTGGATCATCGACCCCATCGACGGCACCTGTAACTTTGTGCACAGGTATGATATTGTGATATTATATATATTTGTTTATTATATTCATTATATATATATATATATATATATATAATATATTATATTAAAATTTATATATACTCCC